ATAATTTTTCCCATCTGAACTATCACGGTTTTGACGCATCACCACTATTTTTTTTTAACAAATCACCATATGAACTATACGAGGTTGTCAATGTGCCCCTAAACCGGATATAAAAGTAGTTTTGATTAAAAAAAGTTGTTTTTAATGGCACATTTTTCAGAAAATAAAAAATGAAAAATGAAAAAAATAAATAAGTTGGTTTCAAAAAAAAGATAAAAATAAAAAAATAAAATGAGAAATGAGGCTCGTTCCAAAATGCCTTGAACCAGAAATACCTGCTACACCACCGGAGCCCCCGCCGACCTACACCGTTGCCGACCCCACCACCGTCTCCCGTTCGCAGTGGAAACCGATGCATGCGACGACAGTTGAGGGCACATCACGTCGAGCTCATTGTGGGTACGTGGCGGGAGGAGGTGGTGGGGCCGGCGACAGTGCAGGTTGACAGGGACTCCTGTGGCGTAGCAGGTATTTCTGGTCCAAGGAATTTTTGAACGAGCTTCATTTCTCATTTTCTTTCTTTTTTATTTTGTATTTTTTATTTTTTCAAACCAACTTATTCATTTTTTCATTTTTATTTATTTTATTTTCTGCAAAATGTGTGAAATTACTAAAATGCCATTAAAAACATTTTTTTTTTCAGTCAAAACCACTTTTATATCCAGTTTAGGGGGCACATTGACAAACCTGTATAGTTCATATGGTAGTTTGTAAAAAAAAAAATAGTTTATATGGTGATGCGCCAAAACCGTGATAGTTCAGATGGGAAAAAGTATTTTACCCTTATTAATATTATTATTATTATCATTATTATTATTATTATTATTATTATTATTATTATTATTATTATGTAGATGAAGACTTTAAGGCAAGCTTTGGAATTTTTATCCTAAAATTTGTTAAAATCTTCTATTTTTATACTCTGCCATGTGTATAATATGTGTGAATTGAATCCTCGAATATCAAGTTGCATGCTAAGGCACTTACTCTAGCTGCTTTAGCTGGGGCGGCTGTTGTTGAGTATTACGACCACAAATCGGGAGCAAAACCAGAGCGCGTTGCCAAATTCCTACATCACAGAGAATAATAAACTTCCACCTTCAGGCTAAGAAATGCAGGGAACTCGTGTGATTTATAAAATCGTGCGGATTTTGAAATGGCTTTTGTTTCGTTAGTATGATGTCCGAGTACTTAGCTAGCTATAGAGGGAGACCATTGTTCTCGGGCTCCATTGTGCATGAATTTTTCTAATTATTTCCATATTTTGTTATGTAGAATAAAATTTTTTGACTGGAAATGCCAATGAATTTTGATTCCGTTTACTCCTTTTTCTGTTCTTTCGGATGTTGCTTACCTGTGAATGTCGACAAATTTCAGAGCATTAATAACAAATTTTGAGCTCTTGCTAATGCTAGATTTGTGTGAGAATTTAATTGAAAATGCAAATTTCATATACAACATGTTATATGAAGAAAGATCGTGTGCTTGCTTGAATACTTTTCAACTTTTGAAACTCTATTTTAAGCATTAACTTATGTTAGCTGCTACATTAAAAAAGATCAAAAGGTTTTATGAATGCAAAGGTTCTGTCTAAGTAATGAACTTTTTGTAGATCCAGCCAAATCATCCCATATGGTGGTTCAACAAAAATTAGTTGTCAGAGGCTATGGACAAACTCCGAAAGTGGACTAAAAATATTTTATACAATTAGGTGTAATTTGTTTAAAAAATTAGAGAATCTTTCTCTGCTATAAATAGGTGCATTTGCAGTGCTGAAGACGCACCAAGAAGAGAGAAAGAAAAGATCAGAAAGAAAATTTTCTGGAGTGTTATTTTTCAGTGAGATAAAAATAGAGTGTTTGAGTAAATCCTGTGAGTGTGGGAAAAATACACCGGGTTGGGTATCAACTCTATTACTCCTTGTTTAAGAGTGGGGTCTCACTGGGTCACTATATTTTACATTTCTAGTGTAAGAGAGTGTGAAAAGATATTGTAATTATCTTGAAAATATAGTGAAATTGTTCAGAGGTTGTCCTGTGGTTTTTTCCTCTATTTGGAAGTTTTTCCACGTTAAATCTTGATGTCTTATTTCTTGCATTTTATATTTATTTTGAATATTCTTAGTATGCTCTGTGGTCGCAGTTTAATCTGAACTTCCACATCAGAAAAGAATTATTCCAGTATTTTATTGCAAGAGATTTTTTTTTTGTCATTCTTGAGTTGCTGAGATTGGGATTATTGTTTACCATTTTACTTTGATATTTTAATTTCCATCTTCCGCATTACGCATCTGAGCCCAACAAGTGGTATCAGAGCTCAAGTTGGGCTCTGTATCGGCCAGTGTAAATTAAATGGAGGAGAACGTGGGTACCATGGTGAAGCTCACAGCAGAAAATTACTCCATTTGGAAGCCAAAAATGGAGGACATAGTTTTCTACAAAGATTTGTACGATCCTATAGAAAAGGGAGACAACAAGCCAGATGATGTGAAGGATGACGATTGGAAAAAGTTACACAGAAAGGCTGTCAGTTTAATCCGACAGTGGGTGGATATCAGCATATTCCACCATGTTGCCACAGAGTCGAAAGCCCATACTCTATGGAACAAAATTGAACAAATGTACCAGAGGAAGATTGCACAGAATAAAGCTTTCGTCATTAGAAAGCTTGTATATTTTAATTACCGGGATGGAAGATCAGTTGCAGAGCACCTGAATGAGTTTCAAGACATGGTAAACCAACTTGTTACCATGGAGATGAAACTTGACGAAGAGCTGCAGGCGCTGTTACTTTTGAGTTCTTTACCGGATAGCTGGGAGACTCTGGTGGTCTCATTGAGCAACTCTGCTCCAGAGGGAAAATTGACTTTTACCCAAGTCAAAGACAGTATGTTCAATGAAGAAACAAGAAGAAAAGACTCTGGGGCAAGCAGCTCCCAAGCTCTGGTCACAGAAACCAGGGGGAGAAGTAAAAGCAGAGGCCGGAATAGCAAAGCCAGAGATAAATCACAATCTCAACCCAGGAGAAAATTCAAGTGTTATCACTGTGGTGAAGAAGGGCATATCAAAAGAAACTGCAAAGCCTGGAAGAACAGAGGTTGGAGAAATAACAAGACAAAGAACGATAAAAGTACCACAACCCCTGTGATCAATGGGGAAGTGGTGTTGCTCTCTGTTGAAGAAGAAGAGTGTCATGTTGCAAATTCATGTGTTGAATGGGTCATTGACTCAGCAGCATCATACCATGCAACTTCTCACAAGGAATTCTTTTCTCTATACAAAGAAGGAGACTTTGGTCGAGTAAAGATGGGCAACAACAGCATTGCAAATATTGTGGGAGTTAGAGATGTGTGCATTCAAACTGATATTGGGTGCACAATAACACTGAAGGACGTACCACATATACCAGACTTACGTCTGAATCTGATCTCTGTGCATGCATTGGATCTAGCAGGGTATACTAACAATTTTGGTAACGGCACGTGGAGACTTACGAAAGGATCGTTGTTAGCTGCTAGAGGTACAGTGAGATTGACACTGTACAGAACTCAAGTGAAGCTGATCAAGGGTGGATTGAATGCAGTCGAGGATGATACTTCGCCAAATTTGTGGCACAAAAAACTAGCTCACATTGGTGAAAAAGGATTACAAATTTTGGCAAGAAAGTCCCTCATCCCATTTGCCAAAGATTCAAAACTGAATCCTTGTGATTATTGTCTCTTTGGGAAGCATCATAGAGTGTCTTTCAGTAAAACCTCGAAGCTGAAAGAGAATGTGTTGGAGATGGTGTATTTTGATGTATGTGGACCCATGGAAGTGGAGAGTCTCGGTGGTAGCAGATATTTCGTGACGTTTATTGATGATGCTTCAAGAAAATTGTGGGTGTATTTCTTGAGAACGAAGGGTGAAGTTTTTCAATACTTTAAAAAGGTTTCATGCTATGGTGGAAAGACAGGTTGGTAAACCTTTGAAGTGTCTTCGCTCAGATAATAAGGGTGAGTATACTTCCCATGAATTCAAGAATTATTGTGTTGAGCATGGCATCATGCATGAGAATACTGTACCTAGAACCCCACAACATAATGGTGTGGTTGAAAGAATCAACAGAACCATTATGCAGAAAGTGAGGTGTATGTTAAGAATGGCTAAGCTACCTAAGCCATTCTGGGGTGAAGCTGTTCTAACGGCGTGATACCTGATCAACCGATCTCCATCTGTTCCTTTGGGCTTTGATATCCCTGAAAGAGTATGGTCCAGACATGATGTTAAATACTCTCATTTAAAGGTGTTTGATGCAAAGCTTTTGCTCACGTAAGCAAGGAACAGAGACGAAAACTTGATGATAAAGCCATTCCTTGTATATTTCTGGGCTATGGAGATGAGGAATTTGGCTACAGGTTATGGGATCCAGAAAATCAAAAAATTATCAGAAGCAGAGATGTAGTGTTCCATGAGCAAGAAACTATGTCTGATTCTGCTTCACCAGAAATCAGAGAACCAAGTGGTAAGGTGGATCTTTCACCTGTCAAACCTCCTGGAGATACCACATCAGGGGGAGAGTGTGATGGAGAACTCAGAGTTGATGATGAGCCAGCAATAGAAGATGGCGGTGGTGAAGGTGTCGAGCAAGAAGACCTCGAAGCTCCACCACAGCTCATGAGATCAAGTCGAGCGATTCAACCATCTAAGAGATACCCTAGTTCCACGTATATTACCATCACTGAAGATGGGGAGCCAGAAAGCTTTGAAGAAGTACAAACTCATAAGGATAAATCCCAGTGGATGAAAGCCATGCAAGAGGAAATGGATTCACTGGTGAAAAATGACACTTATGAGCTTGTGAAGCTTCCGAAAGGCAGAAAAACCTTGAAGAATAAATGGGTGTTCAAGATTAAGAAAGATGGTGACAAGCCGTTGAAGTACAAGGCTCGCTTAGTCGTGAAAAGATTTGGACAAAAACAAGGAATCGATTTTGGTGAGATATTCTCTCCGGTTGTAAAGATGAGCTCTATTCGAGTAGTACTCGGATTGGTAGCTAGCTTGGATCTGGAGCTTGAACAACTAGATGTGAAGACTGCATTTCTTCATGGAGACCTAGATGAAGAAATCTACATGGAGCAACCAAAAGGATTTGAGAAGACTGGAAAGGAGCACATGGTTTGCAGATTGAAGAAGAGTTTGTATGGACTGAAACAAGCTCCAAGACAATGGTACAAGAAATTTGACTCCTTCATGGAGAGTCATGGATATACCAAGACTGATGCAGATCATTGTGTGCTTGTTAAGAAATTTCCAGGTGATAAGATCATTATCCTTTTGTTATATGTAGATGATATGTTGATAGTGGGACATGATATGAAGTTGATTGGTGATATGAAAAAGGATTTAGCAAAATCCTTTGAAATGAAGGATCTGGGCCCTGCGAAACAAATTTTGGGCATGCAGATCATGCGAGACCGAAAATCCAAGAATTTATGGTTATCGCAAGAACGGTATGTGAATCGGATTCTGGAGAGATTCAACATGAAATCGGCTAAGCCGGTCAATACACTGTTGGTCAATCACTTCAAGCTCAGCAAACAAAGTTGTCCTAAGAGTCAAGAAGAAAAAGAAGCTATGGCGGGTGTTCCATACTCCTCGACAGTCGGGAGTTTGATGTATGCCATGATATGTGCTAGACCAGATATCGCTCACGCGGCTGGAATTGTTAGCAGGTATCTTTCCAATCCTGGAAAGGATCATTGGGAAGCTGTAAAGTGGATCTTGAGGTACCTAAAAGTCAGTGCAAATAAGTCCTTGAGCTTCGGAAAAGGAAACCCAGTTCTTAAAGGTTATACAGATACGGATATGGCAGGTGACCTGGATAGTAGAAAATCTACTTCAGGGTTTGTGTTTACATTTGCAGGGGGAGTTGTATCTTGGCAATCTAAATTACAGAAATCTGTTGCCTTGTCGACTACTGAAGCAGAGTATATTGCAATGACAGAAGCAGACAAAGAAATGCTTTGGTTGAAGAGGTTTCTTCAGCAATTGGGAATGAAGCAGGAAAGGTACGATATCCATTGCGATAGTCAGAGCGCATTGAATTTAAGTAAGAATGCGATGTACCACTCTCGCACGAAGCACATTGATGTCAGATATCATTGGTTACGTCAAGCAGTGGAAGAACAACAATTCAAGTTGGAAAAGATTCACACTGAAGAAAATCCTGCTGACATGATGACGAAAGTTGTAACAGGAGGAAAGCTCCAGCTTTGTGCCGAGTTGATCGGCATGGAATGCATGTGAAGAATTGCAGAATATTACCCTTTGGCTGGAGGGGGAGAATTGTAGATCCAGACAAATCATCCCATGTGGTGGTTCAACAAAAATTAGTTGTCAGAGGCTATGGACAAACACCGAGAGTGGACTATAAATATTTTTAACAATTAGGTGTAATTTGTTTAACAAATTAGAGAATCTTTCTCTGTTATAAATAGGTGCATTTGCAGTGCTGAAGACGCACCAAGAAGCGAGAAAGAAAAGATCATAAAGGAAATTTTCTGGAGTGTTATTTTTCAGTGAGATAAAAATAGAGTGTTTGAGTAAATCCTGTGAGTGTGGGAAAAATACACCGGGTTGGGTATCAACTCTATTACTCCTTGTTTAAGAGTGGGGTCTCACTGGGTCACTATATTTTACATTTCTAGTGTAAGGGAGTGTAAAATGATATTGTAATTATCTTGAAAATATAGTAGAATTGTTCGGAGGTTGTCCCGTAGGTTTTTCCTCTATTTGGAGGTTTTTCCACGTTAAATCTTGGTGTGTTATTTCTTGCATATTTTATTTATTTAGAATATTCTTATATGCTATGTGGTCGCAGTTTAATCTGAACTTCCACATCAGAAAAGAATTATTCCGGTATTTTATTGCAAGAGATTTTTTTTTTGTCATTCTTGAGTTGCTGAGATTGAGATTATTGATATTTTAATTTCCATCTTCCGCATTGCGCATCTGAGCCCAACACTTTTTCAGCGACTTCCCGAAAAAGCACTGTATATTTCTGTGTAACAGTCGACAACATTAACAAAATACGTTTCACTTCTTGCTTAGGAGCTACGTATTGTAAGAACAAAACAAGAGAAAAAATGATGAGAAAGCACTGGAAATTTATTGTTGACAACATCATAGTGCAAACAGTCCTTACATATTCAATTATGAGGAAAAAAAAGTTTTTTCGTCCTTTATCTGCAGGTCGTTTTCAATTTGGTCTCGTAAATGGACCGTTTTTAGAAATAGTCCCCTAACTGAAAAAAAATAAATTAGTTTTTTGGTCCTCTGACCGCCAACAGCAGGTCACAGTGACCTGCTACGCCTACGTGGAAATGCGCTAATTTCTTTTTTTTTTTTTTTTTTTTCTGAGTTGTATGCTTAGATGGCGATTATATGGCATAATTGTAAAAAATATGTTAGACAAGGGGATTCGAACCCATGTCCAATAGGGGATTACAAGAGCTCATGGACCACTTGAGCTAGCACACAATTTGTTAACTATTTAACTTCAATTATATATCTAACAATATCGTTTTATCTAATTTATTTTATTCAATTTGTACTACTTTTATAATAATAATAATAATAATAATAATAATAATAATAATAATAATAATAATAGTAATACAAATATAAAATAATAATAATACATAAAATAACTTACTTATAAAATAAATATATAAATTAAATAATTATACTAAATAAACATATTCAATAATATAGTAAATAAGAATATTAAATATTATAATCATATTTTATTTGTATTTTAAGTAAATATTTACCAAATAAATAAATATATTAAATAATACATTAAATAATAATACTGACCAAATAAAATAATATATTAAATAGTATAATAAATAAATAAATATTTAAAAATTAAATAAATAAAAATTAAATAGTATAATAAATTTGTTTTTTATATTACATAAATATTTACCAAGAAAATATATTATATAATATAATAAATAAATATGTAAATAATATAATAAATATTACCCATAGAATTAAATATATTAAATAATATAATAAATAAATATGTAAATAATATAATAAATAATAATATTTACAAAATTAATTTTGAAACAATTTTTAAATAGTAATATAAAATATAATAAATAATAATATTAAATAATTTATTTAACAATATTAAATATTAATACAATTTTAAATAATTTTCATTTATATAATTTTTAATTAAATAAACTAAATAATTTTTATTTAATAAATTATTTAAATTTTATTTAAGGGTTAAATAATACTAAATAATTTAATTGATATATTTATTAATATTTAATATTATTAAATAGTATAGTAATAATTAATATTTATTTAGTAAATATTATTTACCAAATTACATATTTATTTATCAATAGTAAATTAATATTATTTAAAAAGAATTATTTACTAAATATTATTTTAGTAAATAAATTTTATTCAATATACTAAATCAATTTATTATATTTATTTATTTGGTAAATATTATTATTTGTTATATTATTTAATATATATTATTTTGGTAAATATTATTACTTATTATATTATTTAGTATATTTATTTATTAGTATTATTTAATAAATTTATTTAATATTTGATAGATGTATATATTTAGCAAATATTTGTTTATTTCTTATATTATTTAATATATTTATTAATTGGATCAATATTTATTTAATACACAAATAAAAATTAATTATATTATTAAACATATTATTTATTACATTATTTAATATATTTTATTATTTAGTAAATATTTTGAATATAGAAATAAAATTTAATCATATTATTTATTATGTTTATTTTATATATGTTATTATATTATTTAATTTACATATTTATTTAGTAAATAATTATTTATTTATTATACTATTTAGTTTATATATTTATTTGGTAAATATTATACATTATATTATTTAATGTATTTATTCTTTTGGTAAGTAATATTATTTATTATATTATTTACTATATTTATTTATTTGTAAATTTTATTATTTATTATATTATTTATTTTATTCATTTCTTTTATAAATATTTATTTATTATTAAAATTAATTTAATTAAATACGTTAAATATTTATTTAGAAAATAATTAAATACTATTTATTTACTATAAAAAAATTATTAAAATATAAAAGTAGTACAAATTGAATAATATAAATTAGATAAAACGATATTGGTGGATATATAATTGAAGTTAAGTAGTTAACAAATTGTGTGCTAGCTCAAGTGGTCCATGAGCTCTTTTACTCCTCTATTGGACATGGGTTCGAATCCCCTTGTCAACATATTTTTTACAATTATGCCATATAATCGCCACCTAAGCATACAACTAGCAAAAACAAAAAATGAGCGCATTTCCACGTAGGCGTAGCAGGTCACTGTGACCTGCTCTTGGCGTTCAGAAGACCAAAAAACTAATTTTTTTTTTCAGTTAGGGGACTATTTTTAAAAACGGTCCATTTACTGGACCAAATTGAAAACGAACTGCAGATAAAGGACGAAAAAACTTTTTTTTTTTCCAATTATGATGGCAGAGTTGTATAACTTGGATTTCCTTATGCAGAGATTCAAACAGTAAGGAAGAAAGCACAACAATGTCTTTTTCTAGATATAAGTTTCTATCGACTAACTCATAAGAGAGCATCATAGAGACAAAATTTGCTGCCAAATGTTTAAGGCCGACTATTCTAGAGATGAAGTTGAAACTACATTGGTTTCTTAGGCCATTTTTCTGCAATTGAAACTCCGCATATAAGAATGGAATAGGCCGCTTGACATCTTCACGAGTTTGTCATTAAACACAAACGAGCCTTTAAAGTGATTATTATTATTATTATTATTATTATTATTATTATTATTATTATTATTATTATTATTATTATTATTATTATTATTATTATTTTCTAATTGTTATTAATTTCATATTAATAATAAATGAATATTGTGTGTAATTATATAAATAAATATATGTTGTCGGTCGGTTTATATTTATTTCCGATCATGGACCGAGTAAACCGAGCTTTTATTATAATTGTCGAATCTTGGAGAATTGGGACAAAAAGCCTAAGCCAAACCACCTGACCCTTGACCAATGGACATCTTGATTTTGAATTCTAATGGCTTAAGTTTGATGATGGAAAGTTTTTTTAGTTGATTCTCTTTCCCCTTTCTACACGGCTAATAAACCTTTTAACTCCCATTTATGGTATTTTATATCCCCATGGAAAAGCCTTC